CCACCCCCCCCTAACTAATTTTCATAACATACTGAGGATGCGTTGTCCACTGTTGTCCGTATTCTTTTTATTTGCTATTCTTTCAATGCTTGTCTGTGATCCAACTGCAGCTAAAGTACTGTGCTGGATGCTTTTCAGTCATAGTGCTAAAAAAACTGAGCAATACTCACTTTTTGAAACCTTGCCACTTTATCGTAGCATCCTTCCAGCTCCTGGCGCAAGGACCGGTTTTCTTCTGATAATACAGCAACCATCTGCTGAGCTCGGGACACAATAGCAAATGGGTCACCCTGCATCTGGGTGTATGGGGAAGGTAATGGAGGAGGTCTTGTCAGTCCAGGGTCCATTTGTGTTTGCTGCTGCTGTCCAACATATGACTGAGGCGTACGGTAAAAATCTCCATGATGGAACTGAACAGGCATCTGTTGAGGCCGTGGAGGCCCAGAGAAGAATTCCAAATGGCTTGGAGATGGAAGTTGACATGGAGACATGCCTGAAGGTGGAGGTGACTGTAGCAGGCTCATAGATCCCAGGGATGTGAGAGATGAGGTGGGACTGTGGTAGTGTGATGATCTGTGTTGAAGTGACTGTGGTACATCCTGATTTTGCCTGCAGTACACAGAATTGCATTATTATATTAGGTATTTCTCTAAATATATACTTCAATTTAGGACAGTTTATTGGAATGTCAATGATATATCAAAAGTTAGTCTCTAGGTATAAGAATGTAAATACCAGTAAAACCACACCTTTTCTGTACTTACCTTTTTGAGCTATTGCTCTTAGTAAATTAACAGAACTATTTATTAAAATGCAATATTTAAGGAGGATACCATAGCCATTACAGAGAGAAATACTACAGTCATTTTTACACTGATGCCACTTAGTTCAATCACCCTAGAACTTTCATATTTTTGAGAACTTAAAGTGGCCAAACATGGCTTAAATTTTGGCATGTTTCTGCTGAATCTGCCAAAATCGACTGGTGGGTGGACCTGTCTGCACCACCCAACTCAACAAGCAATGAATGAAAAATTGAAGGAGCCAGGTGGAAAACTGTCAATAGAACAGGGACTGCATCCAATCAGATGCAGTAACTGTTCAGGTATTCAGTATGCCGGCTATCTGAATACAATAGCTATCAGCGGAGGTTCCTACATCCACACGGTTTATTGTGCAGCCCCTAGGCCTGTACAAGAAATGTCTAAGTGTGTCTTGCTAACATTAGCTCTAGAGCAGTGGTTCTCAACCTGAATAACCGCAGGACCCACATTTGTCCTCGGTCATTAAGTCACCACCCAGGTCGCAATGCAACGTACGGCATTGCAGTACCATGTGTTCCAGCGCGGGCGATCAAACTGTGATTGGGAAGTGCATTCGGGATGCCATTCAAATGAATGGCAATGCAACACACCTCCCACACCAGAACGCAAGGCAGGTGCTATTGCATGTTACAGTGTGTTAATTGAATGGGACTGTGCGATTAACACACTGTACTAGTGTGAAAGGGCCATCAATAACACTGACAGACACACACGGTCACAGACATCTTTTTTTTTTTAATATCTACCCAGTCTGCCTACCTTACGAGAACTGCAGTGGATCCTCAGCCTTGGATACAGTGTGGGCTGCTGTGCTGTGATGGAGCTCCATCCATATGTGCATTGCTTTACAACTCCCATGCGACCCATAGATGTGCCAGGAGCCAGAATGTGATGAATCGTTGGTCCAGGAACCTCTACAGGGCATGCAAGGGAGCTGTAAGCAGAGCACGTATGAGTGGATGGAGCTCCTACACGGCCATAGCCCCATCCCACCCCACCTCAAGTCGACACGCCGGGCAGCATATTTTGAATGGCTGCTTGGTGCGAGAACTGACAGTGCTGTGCTAGGGGGAGGCTGAGAAGCCTCTCACCTAGAAAAGTGAAAGGCACCCGGGGACCCGCTGGACATGGGGTTGCGACCCACTTTTGGGTCACGACCCACCAGTTGAGAACCAAAGCTCTAGAGTACCCTATTCAGTCTCCAGGAAATGGTATCTCACCTTGTGTTGCTGCACAAGGATCCTCAATCCTGCAACAAACACCATAAATACAAATCTCCTATACAGATGTAGATTATTCACTGTAAGTAAACCATAACAGCTTTAGGTGGACAGAAACTTTAACCAAAATGATTTACAAACCTCATTTCTGGCATAGGATGGAACTCAGTACATACATGAAAAGCAGGCACACAGCCCATACACTGCAGGTTTCACAAGTTACTCGAGTCCTTCCTTCTTGGCATTCTCTCCAAGTATATGATCATTTTTCAGAATCCATCTCTCTGCAAGCATCCACCATATTCTGTGTACCAGAATGTAGGTCTGGGCAGCGTCTCTTTCAGAAAGCCAACTGGTTATGTGAGAGTTTGTCAGAACGCGTGTATATTTATTATCCACAGAAGGAGAAGTAAATTAGAATCTCCTGACTGCTAGGACTTCCTCTCAATACTTTCTGTGTTGAGATTTGCTGGGACCAGTCACAGCATCCTTGCTTCTGCCCACATGAAGAAGGTGGATCTGTGTTTGTGCCTGTCATTAATTGGAATGTAGGTCACATCGCTTACACTCTCCATTTCAGCTGTAATTTATCAACCATCATGCATGTGCAGGACTAATTTCCCTACCTCCCTATTTAGAACTAATCCAGACACATACTTAAAGTAGAATTATGGCTTTCTATTAAAATAAACTAGGTACTGCAGCACTCAACTGTAAGTGCATCTGCACCAACAGTTTTCCCTTAACCAACCAGCAAAGTCCCACAAATACCTGTTGATCCTACCAGGGAAGTGAAGCTTACGGTTATAGTGTGGCAACAATGATGCACTGCTTCTTAATTTAGAGCAGAATTGTCACTCTCATGTAGGCTGTTCCTACTTGCACTACAGAGCGATGAGAAGATGTTGCAGGGGATGTAGGTATTTACAAGCCTGTAGCTTGTCATTTAGCACCGGACCACACCTAGTCCTGCCCATTGATTTTTGGATTGGCATTGTTGCCTCTGTTGCTGGAACCCTGCCACTGTGAGCTGCAATAGAAAGGGGCAGTGCATGAGACACAATAAGAGATTTGGATCCTGCAAGTCAGCCGGCTGTGACAGCAGTCCCTGCACCCTGTCTCCTCCTCTGCTGCAGCAGCTAGGGTATGTACCTTGGCGTCCTTCCATCCTAAACACTGTGTATAGAAGGTGATGAGTCTCAAGACCTAAGACCACTGCAACGGAGGGGAAGAGATGCTCCAGGGACTGGTATAAGAGCAAGCTGGCTTGGAGGTTTGGGTGAGAATAACTGTTATTTTCAGACCTAGACCAAAATGAGCACTTACCCCTTGTAAAATTGGGGTAGCCCCACTGCAAGGGTAAATGTAAAAAAATACCCAGAGTTCTTTTTTTAAAGATAACGGGATCTGATACTAATCCTGGCTTCGCAGAGCTGAGTTGCCTGAACCAGCCCAAAGATTATCAGCATCTAAAACTTTATGCAAAGTACCAAAACTACTATGTGATTTTTCTGCCCTTAGAATACTCAAATGAAAGAAAAAGTTTTAAAAAGTTTTTCATCAGTTACAAAGTGATCAAATGTAAAACACATGTTAAAGTTTGTTTCGTTCAAATAAATTGCAGTCATCCTATGCATAATCAGATGAAGTGTCAAACAACTGAATGTTGTGAAGAGCTAAATCGCTTAATGTGCGTTGTACCATGTGACTTTCCTGTTACATGACAGCATGCAGGGGGAAGGCAGCTTCCACTTCCAGATGCTTTGCAGAGTTTGGCATGTCGCACATCTCATCAGAAGTAGGTCTGAGTGGGGAAGCGCTTAATGATATAAGCATTATGGATCATAGCAGTAATTAAACCCTATACCACCAGCTATGACAAAAGGTTATTATGGACTGTAGGGGGTAAACCAGATACTAGGTTTTGGAAAGATTTGGCCTGAGCTGCCTTAAACTACACAAGCAGAAGACAATGCTTTCTAGTCTTGGTTTTAGATCTTTGGGTCTACAATACAGTGATGTCACCAATTAAAAACACAGACATACTGTGGATAAATGTGTTTCAAAATGAACCCACTAGAGCCTAACAGCTTTTTCAAGGGAGGCAGCGCTGCAATCCAGGAATGTGGACAAGCAGTTAATTTTTACATGAGCTTAGGTACAGAATTGTCCTATAAATGCCAAGCTGATTCATTAACTGGAGAGATGCCAAGAGAACATGTGAGGACACTGGTGAAAATACAGAACACGCCTTTAATTTCTACATTCTATATGTTCTGGGTAACAACCAACTTAATATTATATTCATTTTCAAAAATATAATCTTAACTAATTGGCTACCACAGGTCCAATTCTATAATGATAGGGAAATTCCATTAACATTGTTATTTTCTGCAGGGACAACCAATTAGATCTAAACACAAAAAGAAACACACACAAAAAAACCCGTCACAGTGCTGAAAATAACTGCTGCAGAATATGATCCAGGCATTAAAGCTCAGTGAAAATATTTGATCAGCACCTGGCCCTCTCGAAACTTTGGGTGAGTATATCTTTGTTATTTTTTTATTTGTAATTCTTTATGGATATATAGAAAGTACACACAGAGTAGAATGATGGTTACAAATAAATGGTAACAATTCAATATCACTGACACCATAAAGTTCTGTTCCTAACACATGTAGGTATATTATTTGATGGACCACATATCATTAGAATATCATGTCATAGTATAGTATCCATGTTGTTATTGCTAGTTTCTGTAATATTACTGATGTTCAGTTAGTGTAGGTACAGTAAGGGTTTTTTATGGGTTTTTTTTACTAAGTGCATGAAAAGTGTGTTTTCTCAAAGAAATGTTTGCCAAACATGAGTAAGTTGCCTTTCGATGGTAGGAATAGTTTCTTGTTTACTAAAGAAGGGGTAGTATGTGATTGATAGGCACGATGAAAAAGGTATGCGTTTCAAAAGGCCATGGTTTATGGTGACCTTCATTCCCATCCTCCTGTTTCGACACTTGTAGCTTTTACTGCGGCCCCCAGTTAAATCAATACAAGCATGATGGCCATGGTGGTATCTGCACCAGAGTCACAAACCCAACACAGGTCTTCCTCTCCAGCCCTGTCCTTCATTGTGTGTACTTCCTCTTTCCATTTCTTTTTTTTTTCTCTCTACCCTTCTCCTCCCCCGATAAAGTTGTTAAATAATAAGAATACAAATTAATAATTAAACAAGGAAATAGGCTATTCTGAAAAAGACTTATTAATCCAATTGGGTATTTGTCATCAGGGAGAATCTTAAATGTAGCGAGTAGTTTTTAAAGAGATAATAGAAACGGTGAGAATAGCAGTTATCTGAGAGATCTAGAATAGGCAGATCAAATGTTTTCAAAATAATTGGAAAAATTTTGTAAAGCGCACTACTGATAGTGAAGGATGTATGTGCAAATGGTTGGTGTGCAGTCTCCTTAAGCAGGAAGAGGAGTGTTACATAGTTACATAGTATTTGAGGTTGAATAAAGACATTAGTCCATCAAGTCCAACCTATTAGGATCTCATTCTAGGAG